AATGATTCCTCACCCTGCAAGAGTTTCATCTGCCATCTTTGCTTCTAAACAGGAAGAGGCAGTCGGAAGGATGAATGCAATTGCCGAGGCTCTCTACCGACCACACTCTTGTTAGTTATTTACTTTGACAACAGGATCCAGGATCTTCACTAAACTGACAAATTGCTCTGACTGGGGTTTGAACCTGTGATCCTCTTGCCTCATCCTCCCAGTGTGCTGTGATGACGGGCACCACACCTGCAGTATTCACTGTAAAATGAGAAAGCTGCATTAATTATCCCTATGCCTCCTGGGGGTCAAACATTTGGGCTATGGGATCTATTTTTGGGTCTCTTGGGAAGAAAAATTGTTTGGTATAACCCAGGAAAAGTTTGGGTGTCTTAAAATAACTTTCTACTTAAAAGAAAACAAGACAAACTAATAAAGCTTTCTAAAACACAAATGTTGCTCAGCGAACACTCCTGTAAACCAGGCTGTCGGTCCCTTTAGCTTGGGCTCATGGGAGACTCACACCATGCAGCCTTGGAGAAGTGGCCGCCCTCTGGGTCAGGTGGCTGTGACTTCTATCTAACAGTGGTACTCGCTTTGAATTGCATTTAACTGTGGCTGCCTCAATCCATCCAAACACACTTCCTTCCCATGCTCATTTTAACTTTAGGCAAGAGCCAGAAGTCACACGGTGCCAGACCCTGTGAAGAGGTGGCTGAGGTCACGGCGTCATGTTCTGATGAGGCTGCTTTCTGTGGAATGGCACAAGATAGCAGTACTCGCCATACTTTTGATCACACTTTGAAAGACTCACAAAAGAGGGCTTCTAGAACTTCTTCAGAAAGTGGGAAAAATGAAAGCCGAAGTGTGTGCTGTGGTCCAGCTTTGCAAGGAGAACAAGATAATACAGGACATGTAATTAAGAGTTTTATTTTATAATGGTTACTCAAGCAGTCAAATACCAAAAAAGTGCAAGAAATCTGTCCACACACTAAAGACCCCCAGCTGAGGGCCCAGATCATGCAGCAACACCTTGCATGAGTCCAGCTAAAGACCTAGAGCCCATGACAAACTCTCATGCAAGTGCATTTCATAGATCTGCACTGGGAAGGCCCAAAGGTCAGTGGTGGAAGCTAGAAAGTCTGTGCCAGGAGGCTGAGGGATCTGTACCAGAGCCAGAAAGCAACACTCAAAATAAGAACCAGAGTTTCCTTAAAAAGCACCACAGGCATCCTCAGCAACAGTAAGGTGCCGAGTTCCTCTGATGACGAGAACAACCATGTTCATATCAGGAAAGAAGCTTGACAAGCTCCTCCAGGAGAACTAACGGGACTAGGAGAACCAACAACACCCAGGAAAACTAAGACCAATACTTCTTCCTCTCCAGTTCTCCTTTATATGTTGGTAACAGTCCTCAGGTGGGCCATCCACACTCAGCAGCACACTGATTCAGTTCAGCTAGTGTTCCAAGTTGACCACCAGTCATTAGTCTGCCACAGTGTGTTTCAAACAAGGGTGAGTTTTTTGAGGGCAATTACTGACAATGTGTATGGTACTAGAATCAATTTTTTACATGCTATCTTTTTGATTGCTTGTAGTTATCACAGATGTACAAAGCCTAAAGGAATAATCAGACAAGAAGTATATCCTTCATCAAAAATGTAAAACCCAAATAATTATAAACCAAGTGTAAGGTATAATCCTGGAGCTGTTAGAGACCATGTAGGTGCTTAGGGGAATGGGGAACCAGGCAAAGCCACAATCCCAACAGTGAAACTCAGCTTTGCCTGGGAAGAGATGAGGCCCTGAGAGGCTGCAGAGGGGATGAAGTCAGGACACGTGATGGTGAATACTGTGAAGCAGCTCTGAGCAGAATTTGAAATCAACCAGTTAGGAGCCGGGGATTTAGCTCAGCAATATAAGCACCTACCTGGTGAGTTCAAGGTCACGAGTTCAATTCCCAGTACCAAATAAATAAAATAAAATAAACCAGTTGGCTCTGCATGTTTAATTTGTGAGTCTACCCAATGCCTAGATTTGCCTCTGGAGATGAGCAGTGGACTCAGAGTAAGGGAAACTCCATGGGTCACTGGTCCTGGCTGAGGCCTATAATGGCCTGTGATGCCACATTGTCACCTTAAAGGACAGCATAAAGTAACAGCTGAGGATGCCTGACTCCCACCTGATGAACTAAATAAAGACTCACTGCAGGCATTTCACTGCTATAGTGCAAGTCAACTGGAGACTTTCTCCTAAAATAGATCTTCTAAATAAGCATAATTTAGTCCTTAGAAAAGTCTTTGAACCAATCCCAAGGTCCTGCTCAGTTTCCCACATGTTCTACGCTAACACCTCCTTGTTTGAAAACAAATACAAGCCACCCACAGAAGTTCTTTGTCTTAGCCCTGGGATAATCTCAAAATATGCTAGAGTTTTTGATCGCCCTGGACCCTAAAATCATAACACTAGTCTTATTTGTTTAAGCCTTCCTTGTGTACTTACAGGGGAGATTGCAGGGCTGATCGATCTGCAACAGACACAGCCCCAAAACCTGTGGCTTCTGCCTAGTGACCATGTTGAGTGAAAGGCACTGAAAAGACAGTAGGTTCAAGAACATCCTCTGACCTTCCTTCTGTGTCTCAAAACTGCTGATGAACCCAGGGAGGACGATGTATGACTGTAATGTCAGAACTCGGGAGACAGAAGCGGGAGGATTGTTGTGAGTTTGAAGCCAGCCTGAAATGCATAGTGAACTCCTGTTTTATCTGTAAAAACCAAAAAACAAAATAACAAGAACAAAAATAGAAAGGCCGAAGGGGATGAAGCTCAGGAATAGACCACTTGTTTCCAATGTGCAAAGCCCTGGGGTCGGTCTCCAGTACCACCCTACAGAAAAAGCAGGAAAGAAATCTGCACAGGTTCTCCTCCTGCAGAGGGAAAGCAGCATTCTCCTCATCAAGGGCACGAAGTCGAGGCTGGGGGAAATCCATACAGACTGCCCTACACTACTGTCTAGCCTCCCAGCCACTCCTGCACCGAAGTATCCTATCCCACCATGCTGCAGACTCGTAATTCACTCCTGTTTATTGAGTGTTTGTTTATTTGTTGTACTGTCGATGGAACCCAGGATTTCCACAAAGAGCTACACGAACGACACTCTTTTTTCATTTTGAAATAGGGTCTTGGGAAATTGCTAAATTGTCCAAGCTGAGTTTCCGCTTGTCATCCTCTTGCCTCAGACTCCCAGCGCACTGGGACGATCGCCGTGCACCCCCATGCCTGGCCACAATTCACTCCTGTGCCCGCTCAGGCCATGGGTGTTCACTCTGTGTGCATATGTGGGTCACTTCCCTATGAAGCCTGCAGGCCAGGTAAAACTGTTTGAAGTGAATTCCTGCCCTGGTCTCCTGTTGATCTGTCTTGTGTGCATTGACTTCTCATGCCCAGGGGAAAACCTCGATAGGCCTGGGGGAGCATGAGTGGGGGCTGAGGGACTTCACAGCAGTGGTGGTCAGTTGTGAAGAGGAGGTGATGGCGGGGTGTCCAGCCCTGCCGTGGAGGGCCTCCCGTGGACCTAAGCCTGCAGGACCTGAAGTTCAGCTGCCCAGACGCCAGCCATGAGGACCTGCTCATCTCTGAGCTCAGCTTCTAGCTCAACCCGGCCAGCCACACCTCCTTCCTGGACATGACCAGCTGTGACAAGCAAGCAGCACCTGGCACCTGGTCTGACTATGAAGCCCCTCTATGTCCTTTTTTTTTTTTTTTTTTTTTTTGTCTTTTTTGAGACAGGGTCTCTATGCAGTTCAGACTGGCCTTGAGCTCACTTTGTAGCCCAGGCTGGTATTAAACTTGCAACCATCTTCTTGCCTCAGCCTCTGGAGTAGTAAGATTACAGGCGTGAGCCACCACACTCAGCCTCCCTCTACGTCCTTCGATGAAGATGACACCATAGCAGAAGGGGACTCAATACCTCCAGGTGCCCAGTTTAGAGGAACGTGGTGGATCCACAGTTCTGCAGCACAGGTCTGGCCTCAAGGAGCTTGTACAAAATATGTCGGGGAGACCAATCTGGACACGAGGACATGGGATGGGGAGACCCCTAGAAGCCTGTGGATGGTGGATGCCACTGTGCAGACATGCAGCCCAGCGCAGCAGGACTGTGTCAGTGGGGATGTGCGCTGCCACAGGGCTCCACGGTGGAGCTGTCAGCTGAGTGACTCTCAGTGTGCAGGGGTGGACAGTTAGGACTGACAGCAGCTGTCATCCTTACAGCACACAGCCCCAGGGCAAGATGAAAGGAAAATTCAACCTGTTTTTACTTCTCCCCAAAAGAACCAACAATTCCATGAAAACAACGTAAAGGCCCTGGGGGTTCCGGGTTCACTTGATCAGCAAGAACACATGGGCTCTGTTCCTGTCCAAACCAGGCAGGTCAAGATGGGCTCTCCCTGAGCTCTGCGTGTCTGCCTCCACCAGTCCTGCAAGTGTCAGTCACACAGGAGTTACTTTTGGAACTGAGCCCTCCTTGTGCAGGTGGAGTTCTGACCAGACTGCCCGGAAATGGGGGCCCTGGGGATCACACACCACCCTCAGGGTGCACAGGAACCTCTGAGTCACAGCCATGTTGCTAACACTGGCAATTGTTTTTTTTTTTTTTTTAATTAACCTGTGTGAATACTCTACTTATTCAAACCCACTCATAATAAAACCCAAAGAGGCAGGGATATGGCAAGAGACAGAGGGAGAGGGAGAGAGAGAGGGAGAGACAGGAGAGACAGAAAGACAAATTAGCCAAATTGGTGGTACATGCCTGCAATCTCAGCACTCAGGAGGCCAAGGCAGAAGGATCATTGCCAACTGGAGGCCAGCCTGAGCTGTGTAGTGTGGCTTTGTAAAAAAAAAGGTAGAAAGAGAGTGAAAGAAAGAGAAAATAAAAAGAAAAACCCTAATTAACATGAAGGTCAAACTGTCCTACACTGGGAACAGCATTTGCAGCAGAAAAGACCAGCAACTGAATTCAATGCTGATTTTATTCCAACTAAATAAAGCAATGCACAAGCTGAACTACAGAACAAAAGGGAAAAACAAGGATTCTTTTCTCCAAAACTCTCCATGCCTCGTCTTCATTATGTGGGCTAACAAATTTCACCCAAAGCAACACTGGAGAGGGGTCTTTTTGCAGGAGGGCTTGTATCTCTGTCTCTTGGGTGCAGTCTTCAGCATGGCCCCTCTCGGATGACTTCAAGGTCCTGCCCAATCACCCTGCAGATTGAACCACACAGACACAGGATCACTTCCTGCCATGACGAATCCAACTGCTATTTGCCTGTGGTCCACATCATGATAGACTAGACTCCACCCCGGACTGCCTTTACATAATCATGGTGTCAGCTAAATCTAGGACTCCTGGAAGGTAGAAGTCCTCACCTTCCCCAAGATGCCCTTTGCCCAGAGCCCAAGGCCCCAGGTACAAAGCCTGAGAAGCAAAGGACAAGGCAAAGGCTCCAAAGACTGAGCGCCATGGACCAACCAGAGGGCACAGTGACCCTACTGGGGGTGTGACACACAGGGCAGCCAGTAGCACAGGCTTACTGCTTCCCAAGGGACAGCACAGCGGGTGCCGGGTCCCCTGCACATATGCTCTACATTTAAAAGAAAATATCACAGCCGAGAGGTTTAACAATTGAATATATTAAACACACTCCTGTGTATTTTTATTTTGGTGGTGTGGGTCTGTGTGTTCCATGCTGGGGATCAAAGGACTCAGGCATGTCAGGCACCTGCTCTATCACTGAGCAACATCCCCAACCCCCAAATAGACTCGTCATGGGGAAATTTTGCACCCCTGACCCTGATTGTTTGCCCGCTAGTTGATCACTCAAGGAAACACTCACAATCCCCCAGAAAGCAAAACTCAAGACAAGAAAGAAAAGGATGGGGAACAGGAAAAAGCTCAGCACCTTCCTGGTAAGTGCAAGGCCCCGAGTTTGATTTCTGCTACCAGGAGGGAAAAAAAAGAAAAGAAAAAAGGAATAAAAGGAAGGAAGGAAGGAAGAAAAAGAAAGAAAGAAAAAAAGAAAGAAAGAAAGAAAAAGAAAGAGAAAGGCATGGCTGGTGGAGTGACTAAGTCAGGTTACCTGATCTTCTGGCACAGGAGACACTCATTGCTATAGGTATTTAAGTCGCTCCCACACACGGGGCGCAAGTGCCTAGGACACCCTCGTATCTGGTACCGTTCACAGTTTGCCTGGAAAAAAAGAGCTGACTTGAGTCACACTTGGGCTTTTGGTGTTGTTTTGCTTTGACTGGCTCTTTGAGGCAAGGTCTCATTTTGAAGAAGAAGGGACGCAGGCGTGGTGGCTGATGCCTGCAGTCCTGGCTATCAGGAGGCTGAGGCGCGAGAATCACAACTGTGAAGCCAGCCTGTGCAACTCAGTGAGACCTTGTGTCAAATAAAATTTAAAAGAAGCTGAAACATGTTGCTCAACACTCCCTGAGGTCAATCCTTCAAGCCACAAAAAGAAAAAGATAAAAGACTTCAGGGTTTCTTTGGGGGGGGGTGTTGTTTTGTTTGTTTTGCTTTGTTTTGGTACTGGGAATCAAACCAGGTCCTCCCGGTGCTAGGCACGCACTGTGCCACTGAACTATAACAATGGCCTGGCATGAAGGGTTTTAATCTGATTGTTAAATGAAAATCTACAGCATGCTGCCATCCTTACTTTAATGAGCTTTGGCTTCATAATTTCCACCTCACTACAGCTTCTGGCAGGGCTCCTGTTATCTGCCGTTGGCATAACCACACGGTCAGAACTGGACCCTGAAGTTACAGGGTTAATGCTCCCCCTCCACCCACACACACACTGAGATACCTAACAATCCTAACCCCTAGTACCTGGGATTAGGCACTGGAGAGAGCGTCCCTACAGAGGTGGTCCAGTTAAAATAAAGTCAGGAGTCAGTATCCTCATTAAAACGGTGGAATCTGGACATTGAGACGGACAGGAGTGCAGGTGGAGACAAGGACAGGGACCGCATAAGCCAAGGAGGCCACCGGACACCAGGACTCAGCCTGGAACGGATTCTCCTCTTGACCCTCACAAGAAACCAGTGCTGCTGACACTTATTTTGAACTTCAAGCAACCAAATTGCGCTTGCTGCTGCACAGGCTGCCTAGCTGGTGGGACTTTGCAGCCCTGACTTGGGGTCCTGCAGCCCATTCCTCTATCTGCACAGAACTGAGGCCTTTACCTGGAGGGAGCTGAGAGAGGCAACAAGTGTGGCTCTTCAGCAGAGCCGGGAATAGTCACAGGGCTCAGACTCTGGTGAACACAGCCCCAACTAGCAAGAGTTCAAATATATGGCCATTCTGTTTCTGATTTTTTGTTTCAAAACAAGAGTTCACGATGTAGCCCAGACTGGCCGTGAACTCAGGACCCTCCTGCCTCAGCCTCCTGAGTATCTTCTATTACAGACACAGGCCACTGTATCTGCCCCCTTTTTTTAAGTAAATGGTGACCACTTTTCCTTGTCTTGGAGAAAAAGAAGTCACCCAGTCTAAGCAGTGAATAAATGAAACATACTTTCAACTGCTGTCATTTGGATCTACAGAGCCAAAAGCCACACTGGCCATGGCCACGCCTGGAACTAAAGGAGGCCCCCTGAGTCCTTGTGTGCTGTAGTGTGGACAGAGCCCTAACTTTCACCTTACAGGTAGGAGACAAAGGAGACATCCTGGGACAGCAGAGCTGGGAACTGGTATTTTGAGTCTCTGTGACTTTCGCTGGATCCAAGGAATCAAAGGGTGAGACCTTTCATTAAACACCTCAGTTAAAGAGACTTCTGTATGCTCTCACGGCCAACCCACACCCACAATTTTTCACCACGGTCTCTGCTTTCAGTGTCTTTAAAGGCTGAAACAGAAGGATCCCGTTACATTGAAAGCCAGCCTGGGTTACACAACGAGTGAGTTAAAGGCCAGTTTGGACTGCACAGTGAGATGCTGTCTCAAAAATAACAAAACAAAACAATAACCTGACAGCGTCCCTAACTTTTGTCCTGGATTCTTGCTTGGGACCCAACAGTAAAGCCAAGTGCACACCCTTGCTCAATCCCGTGGGACACCGCTTCCCTGGTGGCCACCAGCCTGGGTCAAGCCTCAGCTGAGCCTCTCCTTTCCACTGTGAGCTGTCCTGCTCCTTCCTGCCCCAGAGCCTCTCCCAAACCACAGTCAGTGGTGGTCTAACCCCTTACTACTACAGCAGCTCTGAACAAACAGCCTCTGCTGTCATCTGCTCCCCACCCACAGCCATGGAACTGAATGTGATCAGACACATGGGAAGACCAGTGTACAACATCACTGCCAGGCCAAGGAACTCTGCAAGGAAATACTAACATAGACAAGGCCATGAGATGGTCGAGACTGAGCTGCACTGAACAAGATTTATGCTTTTATCTGTGCAGAAGGCCTGTCTGGGGCCTGATTCTAAAGTGTGCTGCATACAGACGGGGCACGGCAGGCCTGAAATGAGGGGCGGTCCTTGGCGCCCTTAGCAGAGGCTTCCCACTTACTGGTCTATGTCCACCATCTGGTTGCTCCTCAGAGGCTGCAAGAAAAAAACAGGCATTTTACTTACCTAATTGCTCAGAAAATTTCTTTCTTAAAATGATTTTTGGTTTATACATGGCTTCTCCCTTTCTTCTAATGCTTTTTCAGTGTTTGGCACTGTTTGGGGGCTTTTTGATTGCTGTTTTTGAGGCAGGATCTCACTGTGGAGGTCAGACTGCTCTTGAACTCATGTGGACCCCAGGCAGGCCTGAAACTCAGCTACCATCTTGCCCTGGCCTTCTGAGCAGTGGGATTATAGGTGTGTTTCACCAAACTAGCTGATGCCTGCTTTCTCAATCCAAACTGTATATGCCTCCCTAAAACAAATACACCCCAGGCCAGCACTTTGAAAACAGAACGCTTGGTTCTGTTCCTCTGAGGTTTAATTGTAAAAGAATTCTGAAGCTAAATTGCAAATATAGGGAAGCAACTTTTAACAATTTGTGAAATTCTTTTCTTCTGTGGCACAGGGACAAGAATACAAAAGCTAAGTGAAGCTTTTAGTTAGCTTAGGGGGATGGCTGAGACAGGTACGGCTCTGCAGTTCAGGCTGGCCTTGAACTCACTATGTAGCCCAGGCTGGCCTCAAACTCTCAGTGATCCTCCTGCTCAGCCTGCCACGCTGGGATTACAGGCGTGAGCCACCATGCCCAGCAAGCCTTAGTATTGAAACTGCACTGTCAGCTCCGTGAAATCTGTCTATGCAGTCCCAATTTCAGCACATCTGCTCAGAGACAGTAGAGTCCCAGGTTACCAAAAACCCAGCTGCTGCTTGGAGCACCAGAAAATCTGCTTCAGGAGAGGCTGAAGAGAGGGCAGGTATCCCTCAGGATGAGCAGGAAGGGAGCCCAGGACCGCTCTAGCCTAGCACAGCAGCCCAGCTGCGGTAGAGGAAGGTCCAGTAACAGGTGGGCTGGGACCCTCGAGAAGGCCTCCTGGAGCTGAGGGACAGGTCGGGGAGCCTGACACTCCTTAACTTCCCAGGTCCCCGTACCAGGGACCCTTGCAAGCCTCACCTGCGAAGTCCCCCGCCAGGAGCAGCAGCATCAAGCACAGCGTCACGAGCACCATAGTCCCTGCTCCACTGCTGCCTCTGGGGAGCAGACCAGTGACACCGCCCCGGGAGAGCCAGAGTTTAGCGGATCTCCCGGGGGCGGAGCCTAGCACGGGGCGTGGCTTGAGCGTGATGGGCGGGCAGTGGGCGGGGCAGAACCTAGGGTGGGGCTGTAGCCGCCGGGTCTGAGGAGAGCGGCCTTCCTTTTAAAACAGGAATCTGGGGATCTGGACCGCTGGGTGAGGCGGCCCCCGCCAGGATGGCCCTGAGGGCGCAGCTCCAGCTGCGGGAACCTCGCGGGCTGGGCGGGCTGGGCGGGCTGGGGCTCTGGGGCCGGACCCCGGCTGCGTCTGCTGAGTTCCTGCGGAGTCGCTCAGCTCCACGCTGCTCTCGGAGGATCCCCAGGAGTGGGGAGGGGGGCGCCGGGAACCGCGGACCTGGAGGCAGCTTTCCGGAGAGCATGCAGGGTCGGGAAGACAGACAGGGAGCAGGGGGTCAGGAAAGCGTCTCAGAGGAGGCGCTGCAGCAGGGCGCTGATGGATGATCACGGCGGCACCCGCAAGACTCGGAACCGCACCCGGGCCCAACGGACCCAGTGGTCCCCTGGCTGCAGCACCGACGTGGGGCCCGGTCCCGGGGACCACGTGGCTCCGACAGCCCTGGCAAGGGATTTCATTTGTGTACTTGCAGTAGGAGGCCGGTGAGGGTGCGGGATCGAATCCTTGACCCAAGGTTGCTAGGAAAGTGCTGTACCACTGAGCTATACCCTTGGTCCTTGTAAAAGTTTATTGTGAGTCAGCATCTCACTCAGTTGCCCAGGCTGGTCTGGAACTTGCTGTCCTCCTGCCTCAGCCTCCTGAGTAGCTGGGACTGCATGCCTGCCCTGTCACAACAGGCACCTGAGAAGGTTTTCAGAGAAGGAGTATCCCTGATGTGCCTTTAATAGACAGGTGAAGGTTGGAACAGAGGGGAGAGCCCAGCTTGGTGGCAGTAATCCTAGCACTGGGAGGCTGAGGCAGGAGGCTGAGGCATGAATTCCAGACCAACCTGAAATGCACAGTGAGTTGAAGCTCAGCCTGAACTACTTTAGTGAGACCTTGCCTCAATAATAATAATCATCATCATCATCATCATCAATGGAGGGGAGACAAATGAAGTGACTTTTTCAGTGATCCTTATAAGAACAAAGGTGATCAGGCTTAGCATGTACAGGGGGCTGGTGGGAAGTGGTCAGGGTCAGGATTTATTGTGGATAAGGGGCAGCTGGGATGAAAGGAAGGCCAAGGATGGTTCCCATGATTTTTTACTTCAATAGCCTGACAGATGCTGATAACTGTTATACTAAGAAAAATTAAAATAATTGATTAAAAGATAATTAGCAAAAATAGTTACTTAAAAGAATAGTTATTAGCAATATTGTCATTCTGTACAGAACTCGTTACCCTAGTAACCAAGCACCAACCACATAGCTATAAATTAACTGACCGCGTCGTTCTGCTGTTCTGTAATGCGTCATCCCCCCTACCTTCGTGACCTGTGTACAATGTCAACTTTTGTCCCCCTTGTAAGAGACAAATGATGCTGTGTCAACCATTGTTCCCTTTATGAGAGACAAATGTTCCTGGAATTGGCAGACCAAGGGCTATGAATTGGCTAACCACCCACTGTGAAATGCCTCTTACCTCAAGCAAAGGAGAACAAAGGCCCACCTTATTTCTGTTTCTCATCACTATGTACTTCATGATCATAGCCATGCGTGGCACTGATGGTTACTCTGCACACTGTCTCCTGGGAGCACATGGGATGGTGGTATCGGCTGTCACTCAGTGCACTCCGTAGCCTTGCTGCAGTGTCACCAGCTGGTTTCTAAAGGATCTGCCATAGGATGGGAGCTAATCATAAATGAACTATAAAAATCAGTCAAAACTCTCAGTTGCACAGCTTTGCAAATTCCATCTGCACTGTGTCTCTGGGCCAGCTAAAATAAAAGTGCTTCTTCCTAAAAACGCCATCGTTTAGCCCCATCTTTTCCATCTCAGAGGTTTTGCCTCATTTTCATCTCCGGGGCCTTTTGGGGAAATACAACAATAACATCTCTGTGATGAAAACACTGGGAGACATTTATCCTGTCCAAGTGAACATGTGAAGAAGGTAGCTGAAAGGTGAGCTTTGAGCATTCAGGGGCTGGGGTAGCATGGAAGCTATCAGTGTTTGGAAGGTATTAAAAACCGTGGGACCAGCCGGGTGAGGTGGTACACATCAGTAATCTCAGGCCTCTGGGAGGCTGAGGCAAGAGGATTGCAACTTCAAGTTCAGCCTGGACAATTGGAGAATTTAGCAAGCAAGACCCTGTACCAAAAAATAAAGATGCCTTAGGGATGTCACTCAGTGCATAGGCCTGGATTCAGTGTCCAGTACTGAAAGACAGAGAGAGAGAGAGAGAGAGAGAGAGAGAGCAGGAAGACCACATGAAGACAAAAGACCATCCACAAGATCAGGGCACAGTTCAGGAGGAACCACCATGGGACCCCATGATTTTGGACTTCCAGCCTCCAGGGCTTTGATAAACTGATTGCTTAAATCACCCAGCAGAGGCATTGCTAACACTGCATGTATCCTGTAAAAAGAAATTCCAATGTAGGTATCCTTTTATTGAATGATTAAATTTTCAACAATTTAACAAATGAATACAAGGTTATTCTGAGAGAAACATATTTTACTGTCCTCCTACAAGAGCTCATAGAGTATTTGAGAATGTTGAGGGGGTTGTTTTGTTTACTTTTTGGTACCAGAGATTGAACTCACACTTGCCAGGCAGGCTCTTATACCACTGAGCTGAACATCCAGCTTTGAGAATAATATTTATTTGCAATTTCTTCCTTAGGAGGCTTCATTTCCATTGACACTTACTGATTCTAAATATGGCCTTGAGTGGCTCATGGACAACTTGGTGAGGGGTTTAAAGATAGGAAAAACTGTGCACGGAGGGACAGCATGTGAGTGCCTATACAGCTCCTGTGTGTGTGTGTCACACACCTGCACATGCTTCTTATGGCTATGTGTCAGGTGTTGTCACTGTGCCTGGCCTGGTGGCAAGGCTGGAGCCTGGGGCCAGCTGCTGCCGCAGAGTGACAGGGCACTGAGGGCACAACGACAACTCAGGGATGAGCCCTCCTCTTCCTCCCGGCCTCCCATCCTATGGCAGATCCTTTAGAAACCAGCTGGTGACACTGCAGCAAGGCTACGGAGTGCACTGAGTGACAGCCGATACCACCATCCCATGTGCTTAACCTTAGCAGGCTAAGCACAGAGAGGAGGAGACAGTGTGCAGGGTAACCATCAGTGCCACGCATGGCTGAGTCCTGGCCAGACTTCTTTTTAAGACTCGGGGTACCTGGAATCAATGCAAATGTTTTCTGAGTCACTAATGTTTATTCTTTGAACAGTTGTCATAAAATACAAGTGCCTTGTTTTTCTGAAAATTCTTAACGAACAGTGACAAAATGGACATTTATAGAGGTTTTGGGACTGAGCCTCAAATTAAGAGAAACAGTGCTTCCTACGTTGGGCCAGGCCCTGGGTGCCATCACCAACACCCGAAGATGATGGCAAAAATCTGTTGGGTTTCACTTACCAAATAACACCTGTCAGTACGTACATATAAAGAAATGTACATAAATACCTTTCAAGCTGCAGGAGCCTGCCTCTGAGCATGGACTCAGGGGTGATACTTACAGGCATCAGGGACCATTTCTGTCTGAAAAGAAAAGCTATCAATCCCTTCAGAGAGACCTGGTATAAACTGATGTGGATAGCAACCATCTTTCTGAGATTTCATTCTAGAAGTAATATGCCTCAGAAATATTTTATTCTGTAATTTTTTGTTTTGTGTGGGGTTTTTCATAATTTTTGTTTTAAAGAGAATCAAACCCTACAAAATAAAGCAGAATAAAGCCAACCAAAACAAAACAGTGTGATACAGGGTTTTAAAACAAGATAATAAGAAATCAACTATGGTTACCACAATGCCTCTTGTCTTCAAAACAGATGCCCCTAAATTTATACATAGTAAAAACTGAACAAAACAGAACAGAACTAATAAAAACAAGACAATGAACACAATATAGGACTTCACAACAAGATAATAGTAAATTCCAAATGGCTACCACAATATATCTTGTTATCTTTGAAATAGCTGCCCATTCCATTGGATATAATAAAATCAAACAAGACAAAACAAAATAAAACCCAACCGAACAAAACAATGAAAATGATACAGGACTTCAAAACAAGATCATAGGGAATTAGCAATGGCTGCCACCTGTAGAAGGATATCTCCCATAGATGCTACACTGCGTATTGTTACCTTTGGAATAGATGATCAAACTACTGACCTTAGCCCCACAAACACTGCAAGCATTAAGCTGTATTTTATCTCACTTGCTATCATCACAGCCTACCTATCTCCGTATCAGCCAGTCACATGGGGAGGCGGGGCATGAGAGGGAAGCTTGGCTCTTGTCTCCAGTCTGCCTCCTGCAAGCACTGGCTTCTCTGATTCTCCCCCCAGGGGTCCAACTCACAGATAGGGCTTATCTCCCTGTTGGCTTCTTGTTCTCCTCCCCCGCAGTCCAAAAATCCTGCCAACTCACAGGAAAAGGCTGCTGTCTGATTCTCCCCCTAGCAGCTCACTCATGACACCAGCTTACAACAAGAACGTGGCTTCTTGTTGGCTTTTTGTGTTTTGAATTTATGGAATAGAGTCTCGCTATATAGTTCAGTCTGGCCTCAGACTCCCTGCGTCCCCAGGCTGGCCTCAGATTCACAGCTGCCACAGACTCTCAAATCACTGAGATTCCAGGCATGTGGAGCCAACCACATCAACCTTTCTCTTTCTGTCTTTCTTTTTTTTAAAGAGCTATTTTTCACTATTTATTTCCTATTTATTTTGGGTGGCTTTTCCCATAGTTGTCTCAGTGCTTTCTAGTCCAGCACAGGGGCCATCAAATGATTTCAGCACCAGACCAGCTGATCAGTATGCGAGAGGCTTTGGGCTAACCTCCAGCCCAGCATTTCCACTCTGTCTGCATGGGGGAGGACAGAGGGCATAAGCCCGCGAACAGGCATGGCCACATTCAGCGCCCCTGCCAGGAGCACCCAGGCAGCAGGCTGCCACCAGACTCTCAGCCGTTCCCTGACCCCTGGCCAAACATCCAAGTGCAGGTGACAGTGCTGACTGTCCTCTTGTTTGTCACAGAGTGAAACCAGGCTTAATCCTTGAAGGTTTCAGTCCTGCTTTAGCTACTCACTGCTGGTCTGGAGGCCACAGCCCAAAATGAAGAAAAATTTGATAATGTGTCCAGGCAATTAAAGAAAAATAAAATATTTTTTGAGTTTTATTATCTGGTTGCTACATTCAAAATCATTTTTCTTTCTGGAGCTTGTTTGTTTGGAGACAGCGTCTGCTGTGTAGCCCAGCTTGGCCTTGAACTCACTAGATACCACTGGCTAACCTCACACTTGAAGTCCTCCTGCCTCAGCCTTCTGAGTAGTGGGATAATAGATGTGCACCATCATGGTAGCCTCAAAATCTTTTATTTATTAACTTATTTAGTTTTGGTGCCAGGGATTGAACTCATGGCCTTGTGCTTGCCAGGCAGGTGCTTATGCCACTGAGCCAAACTTCTGGCCCCTCAAAACTATTTTTATGGGCTGGGGATTTAACTCAGCAGCCTAAGTGCCTGCCTTGCATGTGCATGGTTGTGAGTTTGATCCTGAGTACCAACAAAAAAAAAAAAAAAATCATTTTTATTTCATTCTGAACTACTGGCTCATTGTGTCTACAGAAGTCTGACTTTTTAGAAACTAGGTGTGGTAGTGGAAGGGAATTTTATATGTAAGGGAAATTTTAAACTTACATTTTTGACCCTACTAAAGTTTGGGCTGGGAAGCATAGCAATTGCCATAGTTACAAAGTTATAAACTTCAGCTGGCCTTGACATCCCCATGCTAGCCACAGCTTATAAGATAGGTGTCATTCATCCTGACAGTGCATCTTAGTATGTTTTGCTTCCTTTAAAGTTTTCACCACGAGGATAGCTCAGTTCAGACTTTGAGGATTGATTCTTCCTGCTCACCATAACCGGAACCTTGTTGTTATATGACAATAATCCCAATTAGTTTATGTGACATAAATACTGCCTGGCAATATACAACAAGACATGTGTAATCAACTACACTCTGCTTACCTATACTCTATATAGGTAACTGGATTGCCCCAAGATGGGGTTGATTTGGAATAGTAAATTTCCCAGCTGTTTACCAGCATTGATGAAGTTAGCTATCCGGTATACTCTAAATCTTTAATTTTTGTGCTACTTGGGAGAGTTCACATTTAATGCCGTTCTCATCCCTTTTTTCTTTTGAGCCAACACCTTGTTAAATTGCTAAGTTGCCCAGGTGGGCTCCAACTGGGGATCCTCTTGCCTCAGCCTCACAGAGTGCTGGCATCCCAGGCATGTGCTCCATCTTTAAAATCCATCTTTAATCCTTCAAAATAGAAGATTCAAATCTATGTAATGGTACAAAATGCACACCTGTCTCTGTCCATTCAGAATACCATTAACAAAATTTCTTTTGAAAATTCACAGAGGTGAGCCGGAAGAGGTGACAGACAGACGTGCACTCCTCAGTAAGGTACAAGTACAGATCCAAGTTTGTGATCTAGCCCTGAGCAAATTTGGGTGACAATGCTTCTATTAGGCAATGGTAGTAGAAAAAAATACCAGGCCCTTATTTATCATAAATATGTAAGTAGTGCATTAGCCAGCCTTCCCACCCCTGAGATAGGATACCCTGTGCCCACAGTTTAAAGGAGGAGATAAAGTTTAATTTTACATGCAAATGCAGGAGATTCGGTCTGTGGTCACCTGGCTCCAATACCAAAACCTCAGCTAGGGAGGAAGGCTGCCTTTTTTTTTTTTTTTTTTTTAATGCTGGGGATGAAACTCACAATCTCACGCTTGCCGGGCATGTAGGATGTTCACTGAGCTAACTGAGCAGCCTCAAAGCTGCCTGCTTTATGGTGGAAGGAGGCAGAGCAAAGGAACAGTGTCAGAGGGGATGGAGTGAGGGACCACAGGCGTGCCTGAGACACACTGAGGCATGCACTCTGCTCATCTGTGAGGCAACTCTCCTAGCAGTGAGGTTGTCAGGAGATTTTGCAGTTAGTAACATTTTCTCTCCCATGGCAGTGCTACTTTACTGACTCCAGTTAACATCAGCTCCAAGTACCTCACGATCATTTGTGGTGAACACAACACCATCCCCACACACAGTGTAGCTGTCCCGGAATTGGGGAACAGGGAGCCAGGCTAAGTAGCTCTCCCAGCAGTGATGTTAGTCATCACCTAGTGAAGCTCAGCTTTACCTGGGAAGAGATGAGGGCCTGTGAGGCTGCTGAGGACTAAACTCGGTCACATCCCCAAAACCCGTGGCTCGTGCTTAGTCACCGTCTTCAGTGAAAGGCCCTGAAGAGACAGTGGGTGCAGCAACATCCTCTGACCTTCCTTCTGCGTCTCAAAACTGCTGATGAACCCAGGGAGAGTGATGTATGACTGTAACACCAGAACTCGGGAGCCAGAGGCAGGAGGATTACTGTGAGTTTGAGGCCAGCCTGGGCTGCACAGTGAACTCCTGTTTTATCTGTAAATATAAAAAAACAAAAACAAAAACACAAAACAAAGCAACAACAAAAGTAGAAAGGCCTCAGGGATAGATCACTGGTTTAAAACGTGCAAAGACTTACATGCCGCTCTTTTTTCCTTTTGAAATAGGGTCTTGGGAAAGTGCTAAGTTGTCCAAGCTGAGTTTCTGCTTGTCATCCTCTTGCGTCAGCCTCCCACAGCGCTGGGACTATCACAGTGCACCCCCACACCTGGCCACAATTCACTCCTGTGCCCGCTCAGGCCATGGGTGTTCACTCTGAGTGCATCTGTGGGTCACTTCCCTATGAAGCCTGGCAGGCCAGGTAAAACTGTTTGAACTCCTGCCCTGGTCTCCTGTTGATCTGTCTTGTGTGCATTGACTTCTCAGGCCCAGGAGAAGTCATGGGCTTGGGAGAGCATGAGTGAGGGGCTGAGGGACTTCACAGCGGTAGTGGTCAGCTGTGAAGAGGAGGTGATGACAGGGTATCCAGCCCTGCCATGGAGGGCCTCCCATGGACCTGAGTCTGCAGGACCTGAAGTTCAGCTGCCCAGGTGCCAGCCGTGAGGAGCCATGAGCTCTTCTCTAAGCTGCAGATGCTCAGCTTCCAGCTCCACCCTGCAAGCCACACCTCCTTGCTGGACATGACCAGCTGTGACAAGCAAGCAGCACCTGGCACCTGGTCTGACTGTGAAGCCCCTCTATGTCCTTTTTTTTTTTTTTTTTTTTTTTTTTTTTTTTTTTGTCTTTTTTGAAACAGGGTCTTGCTATGCAGCTCAGGCTGTCCGTGAGCTCAATTTATAGCCCATGCTGGTCTCGAACTTGCAACAATCCTCCTACCTCAGCCTCCCAAGTGCTAGGATTACAGGCGTGAGCCACCATGCTCGGCCTCCCTCTATGTCCTTTGATGAAGATGACACCATAGCAGAAGGGGACTCAATACCTCCAGGTGCCCAGTTTAGAGGAACGTGGTGGATCCACAGTTCTGCAGCACAGGTCTGGCCTCAAGGGGCTTGTACAAAATATGTCGGGGAGACCAATCTGGACACGAGGACATGGGATGGGGAGACCCCTAGAAGCCTGTGGATGGTGGATGCCACTGTGCAGACATGCAGCCCAGCGCAGCAGGACTGTGTCAGTGGGGATGTGCGCTGCCACAGGGCTCCACGGTGGAGCTGTCAGCTGAGTGACTCTCAGTGTGCAGGGGTGGACAGTTAGGACTGACAGCAGCTGTCATCCTTACAGCACACAGCCCCAGGGCAAGATGAAAGGAAAATTCAACCTGTTTTTACTTCTCCCCAAAAGAACCAACAATCCCATGAAAACAACGTAAAGGTCCTGGGGGTTCCGGGTTCACTTGATCAGCAAGAACACATGGGCTCTGTTCCTGCCCAAACCAGGCAGGTCAGGATGGGCTCTCCCAGAGCTCTGCGAGTCTGCCTCCACCAGTCCTGCAAGTGTCAGTCACACAGGAGTGACTTACAATGAGCTCTTGGAACCGACCAAAAGAAGTCCTCCGGGGCGCATGGAGCTCTGACCACTACTCAGAAGGCCAAGGCACAAGCGCCACTGCCAACTGGAGGCCAGCATGGACTACATACTGTGATTCTGTTGAGGGGGATGGAGTAGAAGAAAAAAGAGAGAAAGAAAAAGAAAAACCCTATATAACCTGAAGGTCAAACTGTCTGCCCTACACTGAGAATAGCATTTTCAACAGAAAAGAGCAATAACTGAATTTATGCTGTTTTTATTCCAGCTAAATAAAAGCAATGCACAAGGGTAAAAGTAAGAAACACAGATTTTCTACTAAATTCTCCTCCATGTCTCTCTGTTAGACAGAGTAACAAATCTCTTGCAAAACAATACTGAAGGGGGGGGTCCATCTGCAAGATGGGAAATCTTGGTCCCGGTCTGTTCAGCACGGCTCCTCTTGGATGACTTTAATGTCCCGTCCACTCTCCCTGCAGATGGAATCACACAGATACAGGATCACTTCCTGCCATGACGAATCCAGCTGCTATTTGCCTATGGTTCATGTCACTATAGAATAGACTCCATCCAGGACTGCCTTTACATAATCATGGTGTCAGCTAAATCTAGGACTCCTGGAAAGTGGAAGTCCTCACCTTCCCCACGATGCCCTTTGTCCAGAGCCCAAGGCCCCAGGCACAAAGCCTGAGAAGCACAGGACAAGGCAAAGGCTCCAAAGACTGAGCGCCATGGACCAACCAGCGGACACAGTGACCCTACTGGGGGTGTGACACACAGGGCAGCCAGTAGCACAGGCTTACTGCTTCCCAAGGGACAGCACAGTGGGTGCCGGGTCCCCTGCACATACGCTCTACATTTAAAAGAAAATGTCACAGCCCAGGGGTTTAACTATTGAATATATTAAATATACTCTTATGTATTTTTATTTTGGTGGTGCGTGTCTGTGTGTGTTCCATGCTAGGGATCAAAGGACTCAAGCATGTCAGGCACCTGCTCTGTCACTGAGCCACACCCTCAACCCCCAAATACACTCTTCATGGGAGAGATTCTGCACCCCTGACCCTGATTGTTTGTCCTCTAGTTGATCAGCCACACATCTCATTCTGACTCTGGCCTCAGTGGGAAGACTGACACTCACGGGACATTTGCTTCTTACACTCAAGGAAACACTCAATCCCCAAGAAAACAAAACCCAAGAAAGAAAAGTGCGGCTGGCAGAGCTGCTGAGTCAGGTTACCAGATCTTCAGGCACAGGAGACACTCATTGCCATAAGTGGTCAAGTCGCTCCCACACACGGGGTCCAGGTTCTTGGGACACCCTGGTAACTGGTACCGGTCACATTTTGCCTGGAAAAAAGAGAAAGTGCAAGAAACAAGCGGATGATTTGAGTCACACTTGGGTTTTTGGTTTTGTTTTGCTTTGACTATTTGAGGCAAGGTCTCGCTTTGTACCTCAGGCTGGCCTTGAACTCTGTGATCCACCTGCCTCAGCCTCCTGAATGCTGGAATCACAGGTGTGCACCACCATGTCTGGTTGAGAACATCTCTCATAAAATAGCCAAGGGTGGAGGGGAACAATGTCCCAATCTCCTTAGATCTCTTAGAAACATCCTGCACAACTATTTCTATTTTCAAATGTAAAAAATACATTCTATGTTGATACAATGCTTTAAAACATGCTACATTACAAAGGAAAAGGACTTCAGAGACTGGAATGTAGTTCAGTAGAAAAAGTTGTCCCATTAGCATTTCATGAGGTCCTGGGCAGGATCACCAGCAAGAAAAAAAAAAAGTGGACATGCATGCTGGCCGATGCCTATAATCCTGACCACTTAGGAGGCTGAGGCAGGGGAATCTCAACTGTGAGGCAAGCCTGAGCAACTCAGTGAGATACTGTTTCAAAGTTTTAAAAAGGCTAGGACTAGGAAGCAAGAAGAGCCAAGGCTTTCCCCACTGCCCCCCAAGAGCCATGCTGATCCTGAGAAACACAGGCTGAGCTGACAGCTATTGAAGTAAAATATAACTTAATGCTTGTAGTGTTTAGTGTTTCATTGATTTTGCAGGCCTAACGCTGGTAGTCTGATCATCTATTCAGAGGATAATATGCATCATAGTATCTATGGGTGATCTCCTCTGAAGGTGGCAGCCCTTGATAACTCTATTTTCTTGCTTTGAAGTCCTGTATTGTTTTCATTGTTTATTTTGGTTTGATTCTGTTTTGTCTTTTTTTATTTTATTATATCCAATGGAATGGGCAGCTACTTCAAAGACAGGAAGACATACTGGTAGCCATTTTGGATTTACTATAATCTTGTCTTCAAGTCCTGTATTGTATTCATTGTTTTGTTTTTATTGATTCTATTCTATTCCAGTGTGCTTGATTTTACTATGTCTGATGGTATGGGCAGCTATTCTGAAGACAACAAAAGGCATTATGGTAACCATGATTGATTTCTCATTGTCTTATTTGAAGTCCTGTATCGCTTATACTATTTTGTTTTCATTGGCCTTATTCTTTTTAAAATAAAAAGCTAACTAAAATAAAATCAATCAATGCATAAAAAGGGTTGGGAGACATTGCTCAATTCTGAGCTCAATTAACTGCCACAGAAGAAAATAAAATTCCTCAGCATTTGTTCTCATTATTATCATTTTTATTACTTATATTTTTCTTTTTTTGGTACCAATAATCAAACACAGGCTCTACTGCTTACCAGGCATACACTGTGCCACTGAATTATATAGCTTCTGGCAGGGCTCCTGGTATCTGCCCTTGGCATAACCGCACGGTCAGAACTGGACCCTGAAGTTACAGGGTTAATGCTCCCCCTCCACCCACACACACACCGAGATACCTAACAGTCCTCACCCCTAGTACTGGGATTAGGCACTGGAGAGAGCGTCCCTACAGAGGTGGTCCAGTTAAAATAAAGTCAGGAGTCAGTGTCCTCATTAAAACGGTGGAATCTGGACATTGAGACGGACAGGAGTGCAGGTGGAGACAAGGACAGGGACCCCATAAGCCAAGGAGGCCACCGGACACCAGGACTCAGCCTGGAACGGATTCTCCTGTTGGCCCTCACGAGGAACCAGTGCGGCTGACACTTATTCTGATCTCCAAGCAACCAAATTGTGAGATGACCACTCTCTGCTGTGCAGGCCGCCTAGCTGGTGGCACTGTGCAGCCCTGACTTGGGGTCCTGCAGCCCATTCCTCTATCTGCGTGGGACTGAGGCCTTTAATGGAGGGAGCTGAGAGAGGCGATAAGTGTGGCTCTTCAGCAGAGCCGGGAACAGTCACAGGGCTCAGACTCTGGTGAACACAGCCCCGATTAGCAAGAGTGCAAATATATGGCCATTCTGTTGCTGATTTTTTGTTTCAAAACAAGAGTTCACGATGTAGCCCAGACTGGCCGTGAACTCAGGACCCTCCTGCCTCAGCCTCCTGACTATCTTCTATTATAGACACGGGTCACTGTATCTGCCCCCGCTTTTTTTTTTAACTAAATGGTGACCACTTTCCTTGTCTTTTAGTAAAAGAAATCACCCAGTCTCAGCAGTAAATAAATGAAACACACTTTCTACTGCTGTTACTTGGATCTACAAAGCCAAAAGCAACACTGGCCATGGCCAGGCCTAGAGTTAAAGAAGGCCCCCTGAGTCCTTGTGTGCTGCAGTTGTGGACAGAGCCCCTAACTTTCACCTTACAAGTAGGAAACAGAGGAGACATCCTGGGACAGCAGAGCTGGGAGCTGGTATTTTGAGTCATTGTGACTTTAGCTGGATCCAAGGAATCAAAAGGTGAGACCTTTCATTAAACACCTCAGTTAAGGAGAGTTCTGTGTGCTCTCACTGCCAACCCACATCCACAATTTATCACCTGTGGTCTCTGCTTTCAGTGTCTTTAAAGCAGGGTCTTCCAATGGTGACACTATTTGCATTTTGGGACAAATGTTAATAGCTGTAGCTGCTCCATGCACTGTAATATCCTTAGCACACTCCTGTGCTCTACTCACTGGGTACAGGTGAGAAGTCCTCCGTTAGGATGATCACACATGTGCCAGGAATAAAACTGACACACCGTGAGAACTTAAAAGACCTTTACAAAACAACTTGGTTTTTAAAAATCTTTCCTCAGTTATTTATAGTTGTTTTATCTACACATAATTCAACAGCATTTTTACAGCAGTTTGTCTTTCAGGAAGTTTTTCTATTCTCACATAAATGATGAGACTTTAGGTCCGGGAATTTAGCTCAGCAGCGTAAGTACCTACCTTGCAAGCACGCAGTTGTGAGTTTGATCCCCGGTACCAAAATAAATAAACAAATAAATAGTGACTTTAGCCAGGTACGTGGAACACACCTGCAGTCCCAGCTACCTGAGAGGCTGAAGCAAAGGATTGCAAGTTCAAAGCCAGCCAAGGCAACGTAGAAAGATCCCTGGATGGATGGATGTTTAGACAGACAGGACTGGCGATGTTGCACAGTTGTGAAGCATGCCTAGATACTACCAAAAAAAAAAAGCTTTCTTTCAACTCATGTTTGTTTAAAAAAAATCATGTAGGGGCTGGGGGTTTAGCTCAGCGGCATAAGCACCTGCCTTGCAAGAAGGCAGTCGTGAGTTCGATTTCTGGTACTGAAAAAAAACGAAAAAGGCAAAAAAAAAAAATCATGTAATACAAGTAAATATTAACAAATACAATATAAAAATCATTCTTCTATGAAAAAATAAAACAAAGTTTCATAGAAAAATAATTAATATATTGCATATCAGTCTTTTTTTTTTTTTACAGGGAATTGAACACACAAGGTCGTGCTTGCCAGGCAAACACTTACCCGCTGAGCTAAACCCCTGGCCCTGTGTATCAGTCTTAAAAGAAGGGCCAAAACATTACTTACAATAAAGAAACAAATAACAGCACACAACTTTGTTTTCAATTGACTAAAAGATGCTAATAGTATAAATGAAAACATTGTCATAAATATTAAAATCTCTTTGCAAGAACGAAACAGGTCATTTGGGGGAACTACTTGAACGTCTGTCTTCTTCCTAATTCTCTGCCTTCTGTTTTCCTCTTCCGGTTCATGAGTGTTTTCATTCACGATTAGGATGAGGCTGGAGTCCTTTACACCCCAGGAGTCTAGCATCCAGCCCAGAACCGCCAAACACACAGAAAGGCTCCTCGGAGAAAGGTGAGTGCAAAGGAATAATCTCTAGCCCAGAGTGGGAAAGGCTATGCAGAACTCGGTTAGAGAAAGGCGGGAGTCATCTGTTTTCAAGTTGCTTAATTGGACAGTCATCTAGTGAGTTTCTGTTAACAACTATGATCCATGAAGACTGCTGCCTACTGCCAGTCCAGGAAGCCAAAACAACATCTCTAACAACCAGCCCCAACAGTCTTGATTAGTAACTGACATTATAGCTGGGTGTGGTGGCACATGCCTAGAATCACAGGACTCCGGAGGCTGAAGCAGAAGGATCCTGTTACATTGAAAGCCATCCTGGGCTACATAATTAATGAGTTCAAGGCCGGTCTGGACTGCACAGTGAGATGCTGTCTCAAAAATAACAAAACAAAACAATAACCTGACAGCATCCCTAACTTTTGTCCTGGATTCTAGCTTGGGACCAAACAGTAAAGCCAAGTGCACACCCTTGCTCAATCCCGTGGGACACCGCTTCCCTGGTGGCCACCAGCCTGGGTCAAGCCTCAGCTGAGCCTCTCCTTTCCCACTGTGAGCTGTCCTGCTCCTTCCTGCCCCAGAGCCTCTCCCAAACCACAGTCAGTGGTGGTCTAAGCCCTTACTACTACAGCAGCTCTGAGCAAACAGCCTCTGCTGTCATCTGCTCCCCACCCACAGCCATGGAACTGAATGTGATCAGACGCATGGGCAGACCATGTACAACATCACTGCCAGGCCAAGGAACTCTGCAAGGAAATACTAACATAGACAAGGCTGTGAGATGGTCAAAACTGAGCTGCACTGAACTAAGCTTTATGCTTTTATCTGTACAGAAGGCCTGTCTGGGGCCTGATTCTAAAGTGTTCTGCACACAGACGGGGCACGGCAGGCCTGAAATGAGGGGCGGTCCTTGGAGCCCTTAGCAGAGGCTTCCCACTTACTGGTCTAGGCCCTTCGTATCTTCGCTCCACAGAGGCTGTAAGAAGAAAAGACATTTTACATCATTAAACATGAATTTTGCTCATGAAGGTTCTTTTAAAAATGGTTTTTGGCCAGGTGTGGTGGTGCACACCTATAATCCCAGCACTTGGGAGGCTGAGGCAGGAGGATAGGTGGGAGTTCCAGGCCAGCCTTGGCTACATAGTGCATCCAAGCCAGAACTTAACTGTATAGTAAGACCTTGTCTCAAGAAAAAAAAAAAAAAATTAAAAAACAAAGATTTTGTGGTTTAGACACACCTTCTCCCTATCTTCTTATGCTATTTTTAGGGGGATTCACTATGTAGGTAAGGCTCATCTGAATCACTATGTACCCCAGGCAAGTCTGAAACTCAAGCCTACCTCAGCCTCTTGAGTGTTCTGAGTGCTGAGATTCCAAGTGTGCACCACCAAGCCTGGCTGATGCCTGGATTCTCAACCCAACTTGTCCCATGCCCTCTGAAAAAGGATGCCCTCTTCCAACTAGCATTTTTAAAAGGAACATCTGATTCTGTTCCTTTTGAGGTTTGGTTGAAAAACGACTCTAGGGGCCCGGGGATTTAGCTCAGTGGCGTAAGCACCTGCCTTGCAAGTCGTGAGTTCGATCCCCGGTACCAATAAAAAGGAAAAAGACAAAAAAAAAAAAAAAAAAAAAGAAAAGAAAAGAAAAACGACTCTGAAGCTAAGTTACAAACATAGGGAAGCCACTCTTGCCAATTCGTGAGATCCTTTTCCTCTGTGGTGCAGGGTAATAAATACAAAACTTAATTTTAGGTATTAGCTTGTGGAGAGGGGGCTGAAAGAGGTATGGCTCTGCAGTTTAGGCTGGCCTTGAACTCACTTGTAGCCCAGGCTGGCCTCAAACTCTTTAGTGATCTTCTTGCCTCAGCCTCCTATGCTGGCATTACAGGCATGAGCACCATGCCCAGCAGGCGTTAGCTTCAGCTCCATCCCATCCCTTCTCACTTCCAGCACATCCGCCCAGGGTCAGTGGAGTCCCTGAGGTACTAAACACCCAACTACTTTTCCGGGAAACAGATAATCTGCTTCAAAAGAGGTACAGATAAGGACTGGTGTCGCTTAGGGGAAGCAGGAAGGGAACCCAGGGCCGCCCCCCCCCCCCAGGGCGGCAGCCCCTCTGCGGTCCAGGAACCGCCGGTAAAGGGCGCGATGCGATCGTCGCCAAGGCCACCTGAAGCGGAGGCACAGGCCCGGTGGCTGGTGGACTCCGTCACAACTTCCCGGTCCCCGACACCAGGCCCCTCACCTGCGAAGTCCCCCCCCAGGAGCAGCAGCGCCAAGCACACTGCCGCGAGCGCCATCGTTCCTGCGCCGCCGCCGCCACCGCCGAAGTCAGCAGGAGCCGCCGGGGGTTAGAGGACCGCGCAGGGGGCGGGGCCTGTGAGGGCGGGGCGGTGGGTGGGCGGGGCCTGGTGTGGTGGGCGGGCGGTGGGCGGGGCAGAGCCAAGGGTGGGGCTGTAGCCGCTGGGTCCAGGGGAGAGCGGCCTGCCCTTTAAAAGAGGGAGCTGCGGAGATGGACCGCGGGGTGAAGCGGCCCCCACCTGGATGGCCCCGAGGACGCGGCTGCAGCTGCGGGAACCTCGCGGGCTGGGCGGGCTGGGCGGGCTGGGGCTCTGGGGCCGGACCCCGGCTGTGTCTGCTGAGTTCCTGCGGAGTCGCTCAGCTCCACGCTGCTATCTCGGAGGATCCCCAGGAGTGGGGAGGGGGGCGCCGGGAACCGCGGACCTGGAGGCAGCTTTCCGGAGAGCATGCAGGGTCGGGAAGACAGACGGAGAGCAGGGGGTCAGGAAAGCGACTCAGAGGAGGCGCTGCAGCTGAGCGCCGAGGGATGAGTACAGCGCCGCCTGAAAGACTCTGGGGACCGGATCCCGAGCCCAACGGACTCAGTGGCTCCCTGGCTGCAGCACCAGACTTTGGGCCCGGTCCTGGGGACCACGTGGCACCGAGGGCCCTGGCAAGGGATTTCATTTGTGTACTTGCAGTAGGAGGCCGGTGGGGGTGCGGGATGGAATCCCTGAGTGCTGTACCACTGAGCTGTATACCCTTGGTCCTTGTAAAAATTTATTGTGAGTCAGCGTCTCACTCAGTTGCCCAGGCTGGTCTGGAAGTCGCTGTCCTCCTGCCTCAGGCTCCTCAGTAGCTGTCGTGCCCTGTCACAACAGGCACCTGTGGGAGTTTTGAGCAAAGGAATGTCCCTGATGTGCCTTTAATAGACAGGTGAAGGTTGGAACAGAGGGGAGAGCCCGGCTTGGTGGCACAGGGAGCACTCCAGTAATCCTAGAACTGGGGAAGCTGAGGCAAGAGGATCACCATGAATTCCAGACCAGCCTGAATTGCATAGTGACTTGAAGCTCAGCCTGAACTACTTTAGTGAGACCTTGCCTCAATAATAATAATAATAATAATAAATGGAGGGGAGACAAATGAGGTGACTTTTTCAAGCGATCCATACAAGAACTACAGTGATCAGGCTTAGCATGTGCTGGGGGCTGGTGGAAAGTGGTCAGGGTCAGGACTTACTGTGGATAAGGGGCGGCTGGGGTGAAAGGAAGGCCAAGGATGGTTCCCGTGATTTTTGAGCTCAACAGCCTGACAGATGCTGATAACATCTCTGTGATGAAAACATGGGAGACATTTATCCTGTCCAAGTGAACATGTGAAGAAGGCAGCTGGAAGGTGAACTTTGAGTATCAGGGGCTGGGGCAGCATGGAAGCTATCAGTGTTTGGAAGGTATTAAAAACCGTGGGACCAGCCGGGTGAGGTGGTGCACATCTGTAATCTCAGGCCTCTGGGAGGCTGAGGCAAGAGGATTGCAACGTCAAGTTCAGCCTGGACAATTGAGGAATTTAGCAAGCAAGACCCTGTACCAAAAAACAAAGATTCTTTAGGGATGTCACTCAGTGCATAGGCCTGGATTCAGTGTCCAGTACTGAGAGACAGAGAGAGAGAGAGAGAGAGAGAGAGAGAGAGAGAGAGAGAGAGAGAAATATCAGGAAGACCACATGAAGACAAAAGATGACCATCCACAAGACCAGGACGAGGCCTGGGGAGAAACCACTGTAGGACCCCACAATCTTGGACTTCCAGCCTCCAGGGCTTTGATAAACTAATTGTTTAAATCACCCAGCAGAGGCATTGCTAACACTGCATGTATCATGTAAAAAAACCCAGAAAAGTTCAATGTAGGTATCCTCTTTATTGAATGAATTAAGTTTTTGCAATTTAACAAATGAAAACAAGGTTATTTTGAGAGAAACAAAAATCACAGTCCTCCAACAAGAACTCATAGAGTATTTGAGAATAATATTTATTGCCAATTTCTTCTTCCTTAGACTTCCTTTCTGTTGACATTTACTGATTCTAAATACAGATTTGAGTGGCTAATCGGCAATTTGGTGAGAGGTTTAGAAAAGGGAAAAACTGCACAGAGGGACAGCACGTGAGTTCTTTCACAGCTCCTGTGTGTGTGTGTGTCTGTGTGTGTGTGTGTGTCACACACCTGCACATGCTTCTTATGGCTACGTGTCAGGTGTTGTCACTGTGCCTGGCCTGGTGGCAAGGCTGGAGTCTCGGGCCAGCTGCTGCCGCAGAGTCAAAGGGCACTGAGGGCACAGTGACAACCCAGGGATGAGCCCTCCTCTTCCTCCCGGCCTCCCATGTCCCCTGCACATCCTATGGCAGATCCTTTAGAAACCAGCTGGTGACACTGCAGCAAGGCTACAGAGTGCACTGAGTGACAGCCGATGCCACCATCCCATGTGCCATACCATGTGCTTGAGGAGGAGACAGTGTACAGGGTAACCATGAGTGCCACGCGTGGCTGAGTCCTGGCCAGACTCCTTTTTAAGACTGGGGGTACCTGGAATCAACGCAAATGCTATTCTGAGTCACTGATGTTTATTCTCTGAACAACGGTCATAAAACAGAGCTCCCTTGTTTTGCTGAAGATTCCTAAGAAGGACTGACAAAACAAACATTTATAAAAACAATTTTTGGACTGAGACTCAGATTAAGGGAAAGAGTGCTTCCCACTATGGGCCAGGCCCTAAGTGCCATCACCAACAGCGGAAGACGATGGCCAAAATCTGTTGGGTTTCACTTACCAAATAATACCTGTCAGTACATACATATAAAAAAATGTATGTAAATACCTTTCATGCTGCAGAAGCCTGCCTCTGAGCATGGACTCAGGGGTGATACTTACAAGCATCAGGGACCATTTCTGTCTGAAAAGAAAAGCCATGAATCCCTTCAGAGAGACCTGGTATAAATTGATGTGGATAGCAGCCATCTTTCTGAGTTTCATTCTAGAAATAATATGCCTCAGAAATATTTTATTCTGTAATTTTTTGTCTTATTGTGGGGTTTTTTCATAATTTTTATTTTAAAGAGAATCAAACCCTGCAAAATAAAACAGAATAAAGCCAACCAAAACAAAACAGTGTGATACAGGGTTTCAAAAGATAACAGGAAATCAACTCTGGTTACCATAATGCCTCTTGTCTTCAAAACAGATGCCAATAACTTTATACATAATAAAAATCCAACAGAACAGGAGAGAATAAACCAATAAAAACAAAACAATGAATGCAATACAGCACTTCAAAACTAGGTAATAGTAAATCCGAAAGATAATAGTTATCTTTGAAATAGCTGCCCATGCCAATGGATATAATAAAATCAAACTAGACAAAACAGAATAAAGATCACAAAACAAAATAATGAAAATGATACAGCACTTCAAAACAAGATAATAGGAAATTAACAATGGCTACAAACTTGAGAAAGAGACTCCCATAAATGTTACACTGTGTATTGCTATCCATGGACTAGATCAGCCTACTGACTTTAGGCTATAAAGTCAGTGACACACTAAACACTACAAGCCTTAAGCTAAATTTAACTCAATAGCTATCATCACAGCCTATGTATCTCCGTATCAGCCAGTCACATGGGGAGGCGGGGCATGAGAGGGAAGCTTGGCTCTTGTCTCCAGTCTGCCTCCTGCAAGAACTGGCTTCTCTGATTCTCCCCCCAGGGGCCCAACTCACAGATAGGGCTTATCTTCCTGTTGGCTTCTTGTTCTCCTCCCCTGCAGTCCAAAAATCCTGCCAACTCACAGGAAAAGGCTGCTGTCTGATTCTCCCCCTAGCAGCTCACTCATGACACCAGCTTACAACAAGAACGTGGCTTCTTGTTGGCTTTTTGTGTTTTGAATTTATGGAATAGAGTCTCGCTATATAGTTCAGTCTGGCCTCAGACTCCCTGTGTCCCCAGGCTGGCCTCAGATTCACAGCTCTCCCGCCAGGGACTCTCAAAGCACTGAGATTCCAGGCATGTGGAGCCAACCACATCAACCTTTCTCTTTCTGTCTTTCTTTTTTTAAAGAGCTATTTTTTACTATTTATTTCCTATTTATTTTGGGTGGCTTTTCCCATAGTTGTCTCAGTGCTTGCTAGTCCAGCACAGGGGCCATCAAATGATTTCAGCACCAGACCAGCTGATCAGTATGCGAGAGGCTTTGGGCTAACCTCCAGCCCAGCATTTCCACTCTGTCTGCATGGGGGAGGACAGAGGGCATAAGCCCGCGAACAGGCATGGCCACATTCAGCGCCCCTGCCAGGAGCACCCAGGCAGCAGGCTGCCACCAGACTCTCAGCCGTTCCCTGACCCCTGGCCAAACATCCAAGTGCAGGTGACAGTGCTGACTGTCCTCTTGTTTGTCACAGAGTGAAACCAGGCTTAATCCTTGAAGGTTTCAGACCTGCTTTAGCTACTCACTGCTGGTCTGGAGGCCACAGCCCAAAATGAAGAAAAATTTGATTATGTGTCCAGGCAATTAAAGAAAAATAAAATATTTTTTGAGTTTTATTATCTGGTTGCTTCATTCAAAATCATTTTTCTTTCTGGAGCTTGTTTGTTTGGAGACAGCATCTGCTGTGTAGCCCAGCTCGGCGTTGAACTCACTCGATACCACTGGCTAACCTGACACTTGAAGTCCTCCTGCCTCCACCTCCTGAGTAGTGGGATAATAGATGTGCACTAGCCTCAAAATGATTTTTATTTCATCTGAATAAAGTGGCAGCCTCAAACTGATTTTATTTCATATGAATTACTAGCTCGTTTTGTCTGTAGATGTCTGGCTTTTCAGAAACCAGGGGTGGTGGCACATACCTGTAACTCCGGCATCTTGGGAGGCTGAGGCAGGATGGTTGCAAGTTCCAACCTGAGCAAGTTAGGAAGACCTTATCTGAAAATCAAAAAGATGGGGCTGTATCTTGGTGGTATGCAGTAGTCTCATGTGAGAGGCCTTGGAGCTGGTCCACAGGACTGTTTCCAGCTGGTCTGATCTGGTAGCAGAGGTCAGGCTCATTTGCTGGCTGCGTCCTTGGGAGGCCAC